GACGAAGGTTTGAGAGTGACCTTGGCGTCCTTCCAGCTGAAGGGAGACGTGGGTCAGTGGTGGAAGTATGCACGGGGGCGTATTAGAGGGACTTGGGAATCTTTTGTTGATGCCTTCCAGGACAAGTACTTGCTGCTATAGTGAGGGAGAAGTTGAGGGATCAATTCTCCAAGTTAATGCAGTTAAATACACCAGTGGCTGAGTTTGAAGCCACCTTTACTAGCTTGTCTAGGTTTGCATTGGAGTTAGTGGCGACTTAGAAACGCCGTTGTCTGGAGTTCGAGAAGAGACTAAGGACCGGACTCATGTTTAGAGTTGCTGGGTCCATGATTAGGGATTATGGGCGCCTTATGGAGGCTGCAGCCCATCTTGAGACTATCATGCATTCAGAAAAGGAGAGGATGAGGGGCTCCAGGAGGAGTCAGGATGGCCAGGGGGACAGTAAAAGGCAGAGGGGTTCGGACCCTCAACAGTCCCAGGGAGCACATTCGAGGTCTACCTTTTCAATGCAGAGTTCAGGTTCTATGAGAGGTGGTTAGGGAGATATCACTTGTTTAAAGTGTGGCCAGCTGGGCCACAAGTCTCCAGCTGGCCTACAGAGGGGAGGAGGGCAGCGAGTATCTTCATCTTCTACTCGTTCTCAAGGCCAGAGTCAAGGAAGAGGCCATCCGCTCACTTGTTATCAGTGTGGACAGGAGGGGCACTTGAGGAGGTTTTGCCCACAGTTGGGTGGTACACCAGGTGCGTCTGGTTCGAGGCAGACACAGAGTCACCAACCAGCGTAGTCAGTACAGGCCTCGTGGGCCAATTAGGGAGCCTCTTGGACTCAGTCAGTGCAGGAGTCTTATGCTCCGAGAGGTGAACAGGTAGATCAGAGACCTTTGGGATGCGTGTATGTTGTTACTGTGTCAGATCTTATATCCGCATCGTCTGTTGTGAGAGGTACCTTTTTGTTTTGCAACTTGGTTGTTAATGTGTTAAATGATACAGGAGCATTCCACTCCTTTATGTCTTCAACATTTGTATCAGTTTTGGGGTTAGAGTTGGCATAGTTAGCATCTACTATTTGTGTTGTGTCACTTGTTGGGGGTGAGATGGTTTTGAAATAGGGGTGTCGGGGCTATGATATACAGGTCACCGATCGCCGGCTTCCGTTTTCTTTTGTATTGATGGATATGACTGGTTTTGATGTTATTTTGGGTATGGACTGGTTATCATCATACCAGGCTGTTATAGATTCCTTCTGTCAAAGGGTCACTGTATGTACCTTGAGCAGTGATTGTTTTCATTTCTTGGGAGATCGGGCTGGTAGAGTTTTACCACCGGTGCATGATCCACGGGGGCAGAGTGAACTTAGTTGTCTTCTTGCTAGTTTCATGAGTGAAGAGTATGATAAAGTTCGGGTTGAGTTGCCAAGAGTGGGTTTGTGAGTATTCGGATGTCTTTCCCGAGGATCTTACTAGTTTACCACCTTACCGAGAGATTGAGTTCTCTATTATTTTAGTGCGTGGCACGGCACCGATTTCCATGGCACCATATCAGTTTACGCCAGCTGTGTTGAGTGAGTTGAAGATTCAGCTCCAGGAATTACTAGATAAGGGCTTTATTCGCCCTAGTACTTCGCCTTGGGGAGCACCAGCCCTCTTTGCTAAAGAGAAAGATGGATCCTTGCGACTTTGTATTAATTACCGAAGGTTGAACCAGGTTACGATTAATAACAAGTATCCTATGCCTCGTATAGATAATCTGTTTGATCAGTTGAAAGGATCCCGTTGTGTCTCTAAGATAGACTTGAGATCGAGTTACCATTAGTTGAGGGTAACGGAGGAGGACATCCCGAAGACGGCATTCTGTACGCGGTATGGCCATTATGAGTTTCTCATGATGCCTTTTGGGCTAACCAATGCCCCAGCTGTGTTTATGGGCTTGATGAACCGAATCTTCCGAGAGTTCTTAGATCGTTTTGTGGTCGTTTTCGTAGGCGACATCTTGATTTACTCACCCTTTGAGAAGGAGCACGAGGAACACTTACTAGTAGTGCTTAACTTGCTTAGAGCCCATAAGTTGTATGCTAAGTTTGGGAAGTGTGAGTTTTGGCTAAAAGAAGTTATGTTTTTAGGCCATGTGGTATCCGAGGAAGGGGTGATTGTAGATTCATCCAAAATAGAGACAGTACAAGATTGGGCACAGCCTAAGAATGCTTTCGAGATCCGTAGCTTCTTGGGGTTGGCCAGGTATTACCGTTGGTTTGTGAAGGATTTCTCCAAATTAGCTTCGCCTTTGACTAGATTGATAAGGAAATGGGTCAAATTTGTGTGGAGTGAGACTTGTGAAAAGTCGTTCCAAGAACTTAAGGTTAGACTTGCTACCACTCCAGTCTTCATTATTCCATAGAGGGGTTTGGGCTATTAAGTGTATTGTGATGCCTCATGAGAGGGTTTAGGTTGTGTATTGATGCAAGAAGAGAAGGTAGTAGCCTATGGCTCACGACAGTTGAAAACACATGAGAGGAATTATCCTACCCATGATTTAGAGTTAGCAGTTATGATTTTTGCCTTGAAGATTTGAAGGCACTATCTGTATGACGAGAGATTTGAGGTGTTTTCTGATCATAAGAGTCTGAAATATCTGTTTACACAGAAGGACTTGAATTTGAGGCAGAGAAGGTGGATGGAGTTCATAGAGGATTATGATTTCGAGTTACATTACCATCTAGGGAAGGCCAATGTAGTGGCCGACGCCTTGAGTAGGAAATCTATCGGCAATGTGGTTTGTATTGTCATCCGGGAATGGGCGATGTTGGATGCTATTGGCGAGTTTGACTTGCATCTGGGCGAGTCTGTTGAGTCTGCAGCCTTGTTCTCTGTGGTTGCACAACCTCCACTTGTGAACCAAGTGTTAGAAGCGCAGAAGGGTGACTTTGAGGTAGAATCCCTTCGGTAAAAGATCTCCAGTGGAAAGGTAGAGAAAGGTTTGACTGTGTATCCCAACCTGAGCGTGAGATACTGTGACCATTTGTTTGTGCCGGAGTCTTGCTGAGATGAAGTACTCCGAGAGTTTCACCATTCACGCCTTGCGGTGCATCCGGGAGGCACAAAGATGCATCATGATCAGAGTCGCTAGTTTTGGTGAAGGGGTATGAAGAAGGATATGGCAGTGTTTGTATCGAAGTGCCTTACTTGTCAGCAAGTGAAGGCCGAACATCAGAGGCCAGCGGGTTTGTTGCAACCCTTGCCTATAGCTGAGTGGAAATAGAAGCATGTCATGATGGATTTTGTTGTGGGCCTTTCGAGGACTCAACGGGGTAGCGATGCCATTTGGGTGGTAATTGACCGGTTGACCAAGTCAGCGCATTTTATTCCTATGCGCGTAAGAGATTCGATAGATTACCTTGCTGACTTGTATATTATGGACATAGTGAGGCTACACGAGGTCCCTGTGATGATCATTTCGGATAGAGATCCACGTTTCACTGCTCGGTTGTGGTAGAGTTTACAGAGTGCCTTGGACACTAGATTAACCTTTAGTACTGCTTACCATCCTTAGACTGACGGGCAGTCCGAGCTTACCATTCAAATCCTTGAGGATATGCTTAGAGGCTGTGTCCTTGATTTTAAGGGTTCGTGGGAGAGGCACTTACCCTTAGTGGAGTTTGCCTACAATAACAGTTTCCAATTGAGTATTGGCATGGCACCGTTTGAGGCCTTGTATGGCCGATAATATAGATCTCTAGTGTGTTGGGCCAAGGTGGGTGATGCACCTTTGTTAGGTCTAGAGTTGGTTCGGGAAACGACAGAGAAAGTGGCACTTATTCGTAAGAGGTTAGTTATAGCCCAGAGTTGCCAAAAGAGTTATGCCGACCGTAGGAGGAGACCTTTGTCATTCGAGGTGGGTGATCATGTCGTTTTGAAAATATCACTTAGACAGTATCCAACGATTCGCTCTCTCTCATCACTAACTCTCACTTATTTCACCTCTAAACCACCCACCCAAACCCCCGACCTTCTGACCTCTTTTTGTACCGCTATTTCCATCAAATTCATTCTAATTTCGATTTCCTCTCTCTCCTCAATTACAAATCCCCATCAAAACCCCCTTTCAACGCCCTCACTTTCGTCCACGATCTCTCCAATTTGCAAATTTTACAGTCCTACAATGGTCTCTTACTCTTCCTCAACCCCCTCATCATGGTCTCACACCCCTACGCTGTTTCACTACCTTTTTATGCTTATAATTTAGCTTTTGATCCCTCCAAATCGCCTCACTACAAAGTTATTTCTGTTAATTTCTCTTGTGGATTACCTGATCATTATGAACTCGACATCTTTTCATCGGAAACCGGCCTCTGGTCTCCTTCCGATGACCCTTTCAATGGTGATGTTAGTTTCAATCTTGGTGTGTTTTGGAATGATGCTCTTTATTGGATCTCCATCTCTGGTGGCCATTCTTTGTATTTCAATGTCGACGAAGAGCATCTTGAAACAATGACGATGCCTCCTATCCATGATGGTTAGAAGGAGAGGAGGCTCAGGTATTTTAGGGAGTCTCTTGATCATTTGCATCTCATTGAGATTTACGGTCCTCACACTACGCAATTCAATGTGTATGAGATGGAGATGGACTACTGTGGGTGGTTTGTCCAGTACCGGGTTGATCTTGATGCAATTCCGAATGTATTCTCGGAGATGATTTGCAGCTCACTTGATCCGTCAGACTTGCATTACTATCAATTTGTCATACTGGGTCATATATGGGAAAAGAATGATGAGTAGTCATTTTTAGTGCTGCACATACCCGGTAAGGTCATACGGTATAATTTTAGGGGACAAGAGTTTTAGAGAGTTGTTTGATGTTCCTCATCGCCCTGATAATGAGTGTTTTTCTTTTGAAGGCTCGTTTAATTTTAGTGGATGGTTCGATGCTTTTGAATTCATTGAGTCTCTAGCATATGTTTGACATTGTTTCCTACTCAAAATCCTTTACGGTTCACCTGTTTTATGATGTCTATGTTGTGTTTTCAATTGTATGAAGTAGATTTGGATGGAAATGTTGTTCATTTAACTGACTTACAAGCTCTGCCAGAAGTAATTTCACTTCACTTAACAAATTTTCTCCTTGTGTCATCAATATTCACATACCCTATTATCATAATAATCTGACTCTTATTTGACAACTCAGATTGTGGAGGAAAAGGAAATAAAGATGCCTGATCAACTGAATAAAAGTTATGATACTGAACTTGAAGCATTTAAATCTCTTGCTGGTGACTTTGATGCTGATAGTCTCAAAGCTTTTATACATCAAATTAGTTCTGGTGTTAAAGATAGTCTCTCACCTATTGTCCTTTCTCCAAGTTCTGATAAATCCCACAGGACGGTTAGTTTCTGAGTTTAAATCAATTGGTTTATTTACTCTCATGTAAAGCTTATTTATTTATTTATTGGGGGCAAGGCTTTGTATTGTCAATCATTCATATTTATGTTTTTAGGTAATAAGTCAATCATTCATATTTATGTCTTTCAGGCAGTGCATACTTTTTTCAAGGATCATTTGAAATTCCTTGTTACCGACACAATAGATGGGCCAGACCCCTCATCAAAATGCATTCGTGTGTGGTTCAATGCAGGAGGGAATAATGGAACAGGCAGAAACTCAGGAGGGAATAATGGCACAGGCAGAAACTCAAAGAAACGGAAAGATAGGGGCAGTAGGCCTTACGACAATAGAGGTTCAGATAATTGGCCTGACCATCTTGATAAGTTTCTTAGGTAATATTTACGTCGTGTTCGTGTTTTTGTTTTTTTTGGTCATAGTTGTTCTAATCATCTGTTGGACATAGATGTCTTTTCTGCTCACTGATCTGTTTGAAATATCAAGAAATCAAAGTAATTAGCTTTGCAATGACACAGTCTATGTATTACATAAATGTATCATCAACAGCGAGAATCATTTGATCAAAAAAGGAGAAGCCTGGTTAAGAAGAAAATGGTAGTAGCAAATTATATTGAAGTAAACAGAAAATGAGGATGCAACTGGAGTTGATAGTTCTTTGGCGCCCTCTCTTTCTGAGTAGTCCACATATTATTATTACTTAGTTAATGCAATCACCTTTATTCTGAATCTTTTGCTGCATGCTGCTTATTTTATGCACTTAAATGTGTCTTACATGGAGTATTATTGAGCCATAATCCATGGAATAGTAGAATCTAAATTACAATAACATAATTAAGCTTATTTTAATAAGTTTTCCTTCTCAACATCTAGATTGATTCACATTTGGCCTGGATTAAAAGTCTGAAAGAAGGTTACTTATTACCTTTGGAGTGACTTAAGCATGTAATAGAGAAGCAGTTGTTAAACCTCTCAACAATTTTTGTCAATGGTGTGACATCTAATAGAATCATTCTTTTTCTTTTTCCCCATGAAAGCTTCTATAGATGACTTCCAATTATTACTTATAGTTATGGGTTAAGTGGAGTTGGTTACTCTTGGTCACATCTGAGAAAGCATCTGCTATTTCAGGTTCCATCTTTACAAGGAGAATAAGGATACCCAAGAGGCATTAGGACTGATTGGAAAGATGCTAGGCATTCAGGTATATTTGATTTAGCTATGCTGAAGTGAAGTGTCTTATATTCTGTTCACTCGCTGGCGTGCAATGAAATAAAAGAGAATATATATATTTCCTTTTTTTCCCCTTTCTTTTTTATTTTTTCTTCTCAATGGGTTGTAGTCTTGTAATCATATTCTGTAACTAGAGATGATGCAGGGGTAGTGCTTTTTTTTCTTTTTATATCTTTGCTTTTTTGAATTATGTATTTGTTGTGTAGAGCTAGCTATACATGTGGTGATAAAGGTTCTTAGATGCTATTGTGCTTGTCCACTATCTTGTTGTTAAGTTTTTTTAGTATCTTTGTCTGGCAGCCAAGGTCATTTGGATTTTCTGGTACAAAAGATAAGCGTGCTGTATCGACTCAAAGGGTAAATTGTTTTCATTTTTTTTTTAGTCTAGCTTACATGGTTCATTATTGTTAATTTATTTGTCAGCTACAACCTATTTATGGTTCAAATTGGAGTTGCTTCTGTTAGGAGTTCAGATGGAATTTTATTTTGGTTTTAATATAACTTACCTGACCAATATCGTTGACAAAATTACTGACCAACATTGTTGACAAAATTATGATGGACCACACGGTTAGGGGTTAGTCTTTCATTAGAACTTGAAGTTGAAAAAGTTACTGGGTTCCATAAAACCGTCAATCACAGCAATATCTATTGCTGTGTTGGCAAGAAGCCTCTACATGCCTACTACTTGACTTTGTATTGTGCAATGCAACGAATTATTCTGTAAGTTAGTGATCTCTCTTTTGCTTATTAAGATGCTACCAGTGTTGAAAGAAATTCTCTTTCTTCTTCTTCTGTTTTTTTTTTTTTTGAAGAAAATGTGCAGAGTATATTGAAAAATAGGTAAAGTAACATTTGGTTCAAGGAACAGTGACACCAAACTGAATGCTACATCTCATGGTAAAATTGCATGGTTTAATTCTTGGTATTTACAAAGTGGAAGCATTGTAACTATTCCTTTCTAGGCAAGTTTTCAGAGAAGCTAAACATCCAAATCATACTCAACATCAACTCATCTGCCACAAATTTCTTTTCATTCTTTTGGTAAAATTTGTCTCTTCAAGGTGCTGCATAGATATGATTTTGTTGTAAAGAGTTGTGATGATAGTTACCAGTCAAAGGTTGTAAAAGGATGAGTTACACTAGCATAGGTAGGAGGGACAGAGATTTGAGAAGGTAGCAAAAGTGCTTTAGCTAGTTGGTTGACAAATGATCATCAGAATTCTGAATATGCAAGATAGGTTTTTTTGACCTATCATTAGGAAGTGCTTTATAGACTTTTTCAGGAAGTGAAGAAATTTAGCTGGGTACTCAGTTAAATTGATTTAAAGATAAACTACAGTATTTCATTTGTGTGCATATTTAAAGTTGCTGACTTTGGGTACACTATTTTGTGCTAAAATAACAGGTAACTGTTTTCAAGCAGCGTTCAAGTAGATTAGCTGCTCTTAATGAAAGGTTGATTGGTATCAAAGTTGGTGACTTTTGGTAAGTTATAGGAGTATAAAATTTCAATTCTTACTTTACCCGCCATTAAAACATCTTGATGCATACGGATGTAATACTGTGTTGTTGTCCAGCCATGTCAAAGAAGGACTTCTTCTCGGGCAGCTCTATGGAAACCGATTTACAGTTACATTAAGGTAAGCGCATATGCCTTCACTTCTTTATGTCAAAAATTACTCGCTCAATACAACTTTTATTTTTTCTTTCATTGTTTAATATCTCATGGCATGTACTGACAGACTTGCATAACTTTGCAGGGGTGTTGAAGCAGATTCTGAAGACACCATCAAAGCATCTGCGGTTGCTTTAGGAAAGCATGGATTTATAAACTACTTTGGTTTACAAGTACTTTCCTGATCAATGTTATCTTGTTCTTTTTGTCTCAAAACCTTCCCCTGTTTACTCTCTCTCTCTCTCACGTTGTCTTTCAGTTAAAATATTTTATTTGCTAGAATGAATGTTTAAACCAACATTTCTAAGATAGAAAAGCAATTCCTTAAGATTTCCTAAACTATTTTAAGACTAAACTAATGGATGATTCTTGTATTTGCAAGTTTTATTCAGAGTAACTTTGGATGCGATCAATATCCTAGTCAAACCTAGTACCAGTTCAGAATATCTGTACATTGGTATGGGTGGAATCCCATTCTATCAAGCCAACTCCTGTTTCCACTCAATTTTCATTACAAAGATATATCATGTCAGGATCTGTTGTGCAAACCGAATCATGCCAACATTATAGAATCAAGAAAATCTTTTTCCTGGAAGTAAGGAGGATTTAATCTGTCTCTGGTCGTCTCAGCTGGGGGACACGTGTCCTTTTTATTTAAAGCAATGCCTGGCAACTTCTTGAGCTTTTGATCTCTTTTTTTGAGTGAAAACTTCTTGATCTCTGAGTCATGAGAATCTATAGTTTCTAATGATATGAGACACTGTTTTAATAAGCTTTTAACTAGATTCTATATTCAGCTTTTGACTTTTTTACTAGCTTTTAAAATTTTGATTTTTGGTAAAAAAGTGAAAAACCCACACTAACTCACAAAAAGCCCCCAAAAAAGGTAAAATTAAATATTGATTGAAAAAATCCTCAAAAAACTAAAGCCTATCCTAAAGCTTATAAAAATCTGGTAATATTGTTTTCTTGTTACAAAAATTAACTTGTCGAGTGTATGCATATGGCTTCAGCGATTTGGAAGTGGTTCAGTGCCAACTCACCTTATTGGCGCTACACTACTTAGAGGAGAGTGGAAAGCTGCAGTGAGCATGATTCTTGATCCAAGAGAAGGGGATATCCTTTTATTGTTTCTATATGCTGTGAAGAGAATCCCTTTTTTAGATCCTTCTAGGGAATGGTCTGTTGCATCTGGGTCTGATGTATCATTAGAATGATGGGATTATGTTTCCTTAACTTAAATCTTGGAATACAGAAGGATTCCGTAAGAATGGTACGTGAATATTATAAAGAAAGTAATGATATTGATGGGACCTTGAAGCAATTGCCTCGTTATATGGTGGCTGAAAGGGCTATAGTAAGTTCCCAACTCTGGATGTCTCAGCATTTATTCTCCTTTTTTCTTTTCCCCTTCTTTTGTTAATGGTATATGCTTCCATATTTCTATCCTTGTCTTATTTTTTTAGGTTACATGCCTAACACTCACTTTTCAATCCATCTCAGCTGCAGTGTTTGAAGAAATGTCCTGGAAACTACTTACAAGCTCTAAAGGCTATACCTAGGACTCTTAGAATGATGTAAGTGGTCAGCTCAGCAATAATGTGAAGGGCTGTTTAATAGCCCTTTAAGTGCTTAGATTTGAAATATTTCAATGGTTTCTCCATTATTTGTTTATGGCATTGGTAACACATATTTTGTTACCACTTAAAATATGAAATTTATTCCAAAATAATCAGAAATTCATGTAAAGAGACTCAATTTTTAGCCTATATTTAAACAGGTGCAGTGGAAAGTATTTTTAGGTTAAATTTGGGTAACGATTTTTTCCTCTAACATGGTTAGCAACTCGAAGTTGCCAGTGGGACTAATTACTAAATGTTTAGTTCCTCAAACAGCGCATAATTCAAATTTTGCAAAAGTGCATCTCTGTTAGACTGTTTAATATTTTGTCATAACATATGTTTGTCTAGGTCATATGTCACCCTAAAAGAACCACTATGTTTCATTCATGTGAGCTAGTGTGTGTGTGTGTTTAATGTGTATAGAGCCTGCGATTGAACTATTGGGGGCCATCTACATAAATCTTGATTGGCCATCCTGTTTTATCGAGGAATATGCGTTAGATGAACTAATTTGCAATTATTCTTTCCACAACCCCAACCATGCTCCCTCTGGGTTTTTCCTCTCATACAACTTAATTTTCAATTTTCTTTTTACTACTCTGTTAGCTGTAGTCTTTTGACATCATTTCACTTGCCATCAACAAGTTGGTGAAGTTTAGAGAAAATGATATTTATTTTTTAAAGTTATGAAATTTGAATGCCATTGGTATTTATTATCAAGTTGAGCAGTTCATGTATATGTATTTTGTAAGTATGTAAACTTTTTGAACTTCTTGTTTTTAATGTTGTAAAGAGTTCAAGAATGAATAATTATTTTTAGCTGTATGCACTTTTAAAGTAAAAAACTAAACCATCTTCCGTACAGATATTACGAAATACTTGCAAACATTCTGTGTGTCAAAACTGACCAGCAGATTCAACATTGGCCCTTGGGTACCTAATTTGTTGTCCCAACTTGGAATTTTGAAACATTTCCAGAATAAAGTGCTATTATCGCTTTGTTCCCATTTTTTAAAGATCTTCAATTTTGTACTCTTTAGAATCTTCTTGATGCTCTTTCTTCAATAAAAATTTATTTATCAAAAAAAAGTGCTATTATGGCTGGTATTGCATACCCGCAAGTAGCCCCTGTGATGTTGTTGATGAGATTAAACTATGAGTAGGTTATATGTGAGAAATAAATTCTTTAGCCTGGTCTTTATAAGACCTTTTCTGAAATTTTTTTGGTATACAAAAGTATGAAAGAAAAAGACTATCTATCCTTATTAAGAACCATGCACGATAATTCCCTGGAATTAAAAATGTTTAGTTGGCTGCTCATGCTCCCTCTAACCAAGAAAGTAAATACTACGGGGGTAGAGAAAGGAGAAGTAATTAGTTGCTGAGAGGAATTAGTGTGATTTGGGAACTTCAATAAGATGTTGGTTTTCAAATTTTACAATGTAGTCAATTTTCTATACTGCAGGTATGTGCATAGTTACCAAAGCTACTTGTGGAACCATGCCGCAAGTATGAGAGTGCAAAAAAATGGTATTTAGACTGCACAGTTTTACTTAGTAAATTTATGGATTATTTCATTTATATGATACATATGTAATTTTGTAAATAGTTATCATTATCAGATCCTTATTTGCATTATTTGAGGTTGCCTGTGCCATTCTGTTTTTACTTCTATACGGCATACTTGCAGGAATTGACCAAGTTGTGTTGGGAGATTTGGTATATTGTAAGGGAGAATCTACTGAAAAAGTAACAGGAATCAGTAGTTCTGAATGTGAAGGTGATAGCTGTAATGATACATATGAGTGTAGCCAACTAGATGAAATCTCTGAAACAGTTCTCCCTGAAGAAAAAAGCAACTCCGTGAAGGTCTGGTACTTTAATTTTCTGAGCTATATATTCTGGGCTCATTCATAAACTCCAACCTAATAATGCTTGCATATTGCTTATCCTAATTGGCTTGCATATTGCTTATCCTAATTGAGTGCAACTTAGATACTTTCTTATTCAGATCAAATATGGTTGAAATTCTTTCAGCAGTCTGTTGCATGATTTATATGAGATGTTTGATTAGGCAAGTTCATGATAATGAGATTTTTTTTTGCTTCTTCATTGTCTACTTAAATTATATCACTTATTGAATAACATATATGCCACAGAGTTGAGGCTTCTTTCAAGTTGAGTGGTGGGAAGGATCATCCCTTCTTTTAAGGGATTTGAATTTGTAAAGGATCTGTATTCCTTCCTTTGTATATGGGAGTTGGTGCCCCTCTTTCGAATTTAATGATATCTTTGCTTATTTGAATCATGCTATACTACTACATAAAGGTTTCATTACCGAATCCAAAACAACTCAGGATAATAGCCTATTATTTTTGTATTCTAAGGCTGTATTATAACCAAATAATGGTGGGTTTAGGGATGTCAAGGGAAGAATGGCGGGTTTAGGGTTTAGGGATGGAAACAAGGGTAAAAACTAGGGTTTGTAAATCAATGGATGTCAAGTCTTTGGTTCAGATTTTAAATTGCTGCAAACAGATTAAATTAAGAAATTTGTCAAATAGGAGAAGTAAATAGAGAGAAATAAGAACCTATTTGAGATAAATGCCCAAACTTTAGAAGAGCTCCACACTTGTTTTGAACTAAGAAAAAATAGTGAACTCTAACCAAAACAGACACTAAAGTAAAAACTTCATGCAAACATGACTTTTTTGGCTAATTATAATCAATGATAAGAAATAAAACACTTGCAACCAAACAAGCAGCCCTAATGGATAAAATCACTTAAATACCCCTACACTAAAAACTAATGACTTGTGAACATGTTTTTTGCCTTGTTCCTGCTTCAGTATGGTTATGCATTGAGATGAGTGATAATTATCTACCTAGCAACTGTTAAGCTGTACAGGCAGCTGTATTCTTGTTTTATATGATAAGTTATATATCTAGGGAATGTTGGGCTATATATCTATTAATGAGTATTCAAATCCAACTCATTCCACTCCACTTAAATTCAATCTCGTTACATCTATTTATCTTCTACTTTGCAAAAGAAATTAAGTACGATAAGACATCCTTGTTTATACTTCCATCTACCAACCTCTGTCATATATCCTTTTGACAGAAAATGAGAACTATTTGGCTTTTTATAAGTTTGAGAATATTAAGTTAGTCTCTACGTTCTGGGCAGGCTATAGATGAAGATGATTTAGTCGCTGGAAATTATACAACTGAGGATGTTGTCCTTCCTCTGCCTGGGTAAGTTTCAGCACCAGTTTTCTGTAATTTTGTACTGTAGTTTTGTTTTGGTTTCTGCTCTAACATTTAGCTTTACTGCAGTTCAAGGGTAATCTATCCGTCAAATGATATTGGCAAAGTTTATCATGATTTAGCAAAAAAGGTTAAGTATTTTCTCCCCCCCCCGGAAGGTTGCTGAATGCCTCAATGCCTTCCTTTTATTTTATATTTGAATTTCTGTTTTTTTATTTATTTGATTCTTGTGAGGTGATGTGGTATTTGTGGAGCTTTGGGCCAAACCACCTCTAGGGAGGGATTAACATTTGTGATATAGGCCTAAGTAGCTTGTCTTGAGGTTGGGCTTTGAAATTAACCTGAGATTTGGCTGTTTAATTTCCTCAATGACCTATGCCCCTGCTGTGTGTGGCCTTGATGGATAAATCCAGTAAAACTAGTATCTGGAGGAGTTTTCAAGTTGGGCTTTCCAACTCCAAGAGTACTTGCCATGAGAGAAGGGTGTTCATAAATTGATGAAGGAGGTAGCCCATTTGTCAGAAGTATGAAAGGGTGATGTAGGACGAGTAGGGATTACTTTCCTACAAGTAGTGAGCCCGGGTTAAGTATACTGGTGGCAACAACAATAGGTTAGTATACTGGCAGCAACAACAATAGACTTATGGGGTGATTTGGTGGGATTTTGTAGCTGCAAAAGTATTTAAAAGAATAGGAGTTTAAGGCTTTGTAAAATGATAGGGTTTTGGGAATGAAAACACAAGTGTTTAGGGGATGTTGGATGGTTGTTCTAAGCACTGTGAACGGTAACCTTACTAAATAGAAGGGGGGAGAGAGAGAGAGATGCTTCACCCTCACAAGAGATAGGCCAATTACACAAACGCAATCTCATATTTTCATAATATTTGCTCCTCTCGAATCATTGAGATTACAGATATATTTATAGGTTAAAGACTCCTAATTCTATAAGGACTATAGTTCAAATTTAGAAATTAAAAATATTTAGCAACTACTAATATTCTTGACCAACTATGACTTCCAATTCTACTTCAATCAGAATAAGAAACTTTAATAACTTCTAATTTTACTTCAATATCAAAATAGGAAACTTGGACTTTTGACCACTAAGATTATTTTAAACATAATAAAACCTATGGGCGACCCCTACACCCCATGTCCAACAATTATGGGAATTACCATTATACCCTTAATGACTAAAACCTACTATAATGGCATGAAACTCAAAATTATTCCAAATTTTTAATTTTTGATGTCCTAAATGTGCTTCATGTGAAATTCCAGATTTGCTCTTTTTTTTTCTTTCGATGATCTTTCATCAGAGGGTGGATACCTAGATGCTTTAAATTTTAAGTGGCTTGAATTCCATATCTGTTGAGAATTTGATATAACTTCACTATTTTAGGTTTTCAATTTTTTGTTTTTAAATGACCATATTACCTTTTTTTCAAAAAAATAAATAAATATAGTTTTTTGGTACCACATTGATTGGCATGCTGTGTTTGTGCAGCATTTAGATACAGAGAAAAAAGGTGGTCATCATGTTTATAACAATTGAAGGTACAATGTAGTTTGTACCAAAATACTGGGCAAAGCCATGACATAATAGGTCAAGCTTTCAAGCATGATGCTGGGCTAGAAATTAATTATTTGTGAATTATTTATTGCTAGTCCTGACATTATTTGCCTCTAATAGATTAAGATCAAACCTTAAATATAAATTGGGGGAACTGTGCAGGCCCCAGAATGTTGCCATGTTCCGTGGAATTTAGTAGACACATACTACAGTAGGGGAACACTATTAGATAGAACTATGGACTGATGATCTATGAAGCATGAACACATCCCTAGGGGGACATATGCATATCCAACATGTGCCAGTTATGTTCTAGGGTTATTTTGCTTCTTTTTTCAAATTAACAAATAAAAAAACTTCCCAAATCCTGCAGTGTCTGATGTTCTTATCCTGTTTCTCTTTTCTCTATTTCTTGTTAATCAGGATGCTATTAGCTTGACAGAGAGTGTACATAGTGTCAAGTGAGTCACTGTAACTTCCTGGGATCTCCTTTGGATCACTTCCCACCTCTCTCTCTCTCTCTCTCTCTCTCTGTGTGGAGTATTAAATTTAGTGGGTTCTCTGCATGTCTGTTTTGTTAGGGAATTCTCGATAACCAATATGACTGGAGGTTATAGGCGGGTATTTCAGAAACCGAAGGACTTCGAATGGTATGCTGAATTTCAAATCACATCATCTATCTTATTTGGGACATGTTTGGTCTGAACATAAAATGTAGTTTTGTTATTTTCTTTTTGTTGTGGCAGGGAAATACTCAGGTATACAGATGGAAACATACCACTGGCGGAGACAGATTTGGACATTATTGCCAAGTCAAAACCCGCAACTCTGGTGACAAAAGAGGACTCAACCGATGGAAATGAAGATGTAAAACATCCTTCAAACTGCATGAATCAACGGGAGGGCTCTGAAAATGATACATCTTTTTCAACATATAATAACGAGGCCAAAGATGTCAGAGAAGAGGTGCCACAACAGCTGTCTGCAGATCACTCAAATGCTGAGGAAGTGAAGACAGCTCTCAAGTTGAGCTTTACTCTTCCGGCTTCTTGTTATGCAACTATGGCCATAAGGGAGCTGCTTAAAACGTCAACTTCTGTACGTGTTTACTATGAAAGCTTACTTTGTGGATACTTTTGTTTCATTTCCAAAAAAAGGGCCTATCCAAGTTTCTCAGTCGAATCTGAGAAGATGATCCCAAAAAGCTTTTACTTAAAACGGGATCTTCTATTGACTTGCTGGAGTGTACATTAGGCCTATCAATGGATCAGATTATTGAGTTACTGGAGTGTATACTCATTTTTATTTATTTTTTGAATGCTATGCAGGTTGCATTTCACAAAACCTTGAACCAGTAAAATCAGTGCTTGTAGGAATATGAAGATTTCGTTTCGAGAGAAAGTAGTCTCTTGTAAAACAAGACGGAGTCAATGGGCAAAACAGGTACATTGTTCTCCCTTGAGATCTTTGGGCCTGTTTGATTGTGTTTTCATATATATATATATATATATATTTTGTATTTTCATTTTCTAGAAAATACATAAAACTTGTTGGGCTAATTGTTTTCGAAAATTATGTTAGGAAAAGTTTTCTAAAAATAATCCACTTTTTAAGAAACACCAAAAAGTTGTTTTTCTGATTTTTGAAAATTGTTCACTCACAAATGAAACGATTTTAAAACAATAGACATTATCAAAAATATTATTTTATTCCCCAAAACAGACCCCCATTTTGTAAGAAACACTTGTGTTCTTCAGATTTTTAAAATTGCTTTTGCACAAAAATGAAAATGATATAAAAAAAACACGAAAACCACAAAAAACAAAAATAAATAAATTCACTACATCAATACTAAATGTAAAACCACACCAAACGTGGTGTTAGTTTTTCAAAGCTTAGGCCTTGTTTGGGAACAGACTTTTTTAGTAACTTTTTGACTTTTTAGTTAAAATGTGATGTAAAAAAATTAGTATGTTTAGAATGACTTTTTGACTTTTTACGAAAAGATGTGCAAAAAGTACAGGGAAAAGGGAATTTTTGACTTTTTGAAATGAGTTGTTGGTTTTTTGATTTTTTGATTTTTTTAGTGACTTTTTGACTTTTTGGCTAAAAAATTCACTTGCCAAACGAGGCCTAAGTATTGCATATCTAAAAAGGGAAAATAAACTTTTTGGTTTTTGATTTTGTGAATGAATTGATGAATATCATTTAGAATGTATGTTAATAGGATTCAATGCATATGCAGGTTGTATTTTAGTGAGACATTAAAATCTCAGAGGTGGTTGTTTTTCTTGGAAATTTTGGAGACAACAAACAAATGGCTTTTTGTAATAATTGATGGGAAGATAGACAAAGGTAGTTGACCCCTTTTTCTATTTTAAGACTTTCTGTACACTTGGAGATTCTCTTCTCAAAGCATATTTTCCAACTCTTATCCTAAATTTGTTTTAGTTTATTTTGGTATATGATATGTGAAAACATATATATTGGAACTCTATCCTAAATTTAAATATTAGAAACAGAACATATTAATGCTGCAGAGTATAGAAGAAGATTACAAAACAGTTCTCTAATGTAGCCTATGATGAAACTTTTTTTTAATTTTTTTATTTTTTATTGGTCATTTTAAATTGCAATTCTGGAAGGGTCTTCCTCTGTGGTTTGTTGGTTTGAAGTCTGGTATTGATTGTATTTTCCAAAACCTTAAATTCCTGGGTTCCTAATGTTAATTTGTCACACATTTACAAGGTGGTTGAGAATATTTGCTCATCACAACATTGATAATAAATTTTTTTTTGGGTAACTGTTCTAGGGTCATTTAGGCCCACCTCAATAAAGTGGGGTAATTTTATTTACATACCACAAATTCTTTCAGTACACACTACTTACTCTGTTCACACCACACAAATTAAAGCTTTTAATTTTATCTCAATAAACACCATCAATTTTTAAATAATATTAAACTACCCTCATCTTCTCCAACTAACACTATCCCTAACCCTAACCCTTGCTCCCAAAACCCTAACTCTTACCACCATTGTCGTTAGCCGCCACCCCTTTCGATCTTAGCCCCTTTCCAACCTCTTCTCCCTCCCGTCGTTGCCCCTACTCTCTCTAGCTCTCATTTTTTTTTCCTTCTAAACAAATGATATTAAACTCTAAATCTTTAATATGTGGTGGCTCCAATTGCGAGTTACAATGGTGGTGGCATTGATCGTGAGTTGCAACAATGGCGACAACCTGTGTTGTAGCGGCGGTGCGAGCTTCAAATGAAAAAGAGGCAGAGAGAGAGAGAGACGCGGAGAACAAGAAGAGGAGGCATGAATGGGATTGAGAAGGCAGCGGTTGCAGGTATCGGGGATTGAAGAGACAACGGTCGCGGAAGTGAAGGGCTAGGGAGGCGGCGTTGCCGGAGTCAGAGATGGGCAGCAACCTAGGTGGTGCGGTGGTTGGTGTTGGTATGCAAAAAAGTTAGGGTTATGATTTTGTCTAAAAAGTAATTTAATTAAGGGATGAAACTATAATAATAATAAAATTATTGAAAGATGGTGGGTATTGAGTAAATGAGTGGTGTGTAAATAGAATTACCCAACAAAGTGACACTCCCAATTGCATGCGATTATCTAGACTACTCTCACAGGGGTTTCCAAGATTGATATTTTAACAAGAATAATGTTTCTCAACTTGAAAGAAGAATAATGTTTGGACGACTAAATTTTTTGTATTAAATTTTAGTCATCCAAATAAGGTGGTATGCAAAATATGGTATACAAAGATGTTTTATTGTATTGATATTTGATTGAGTAATGTTATTCTTGTCATATTTTTATACCACAATGTGTATATCATATCACGTGAGATCCATTTCATTAATACTTGTGATTGTGTCACCATCAAAGAGAACGCATAACAATAATCATATTTTTATATTATAGTTATCACATTTTTATATCATATTATGTTTATCATTTTATTTATCAATATTAGTGTAATGAGTCCTACTAATTAATGTATATCTCTAATGTAACAATGACAACTAGTCTGACGCATCAGATGATTGAAGATGGTAGAAATAGATAGTTATTGTAGTATTACTTATTGGGTCTTGTTAACAAGTGTCCTAAAGGCACAAGGAAAAAAACAAAATAACTGTAGAACTCACATTAGTTTTATAACACTTTTTACTCAATTTAATGCACTTTTTAACTTTTAAACTATTTTCAAAACACTTTTTACTTTAATCTCAACATTAAACAATGCATGGGGAGACTTGTTAGGTGGGGTCATTGCCTTTGGACAAAAAAATTCAATGTTACCCAATCCGTCCAACTCGTCCCATGGTCTGTCTCAGCCCGCTTGATCGCCTGGCCTATCCTCATCCTATAGAAGATGATTTAGGATTTTAGACAAATGTCTGAATCTTAAGTCCATCCATGAACCCAGCCCGTACAAGTCTGCATGGGCAAATATAATCCAATCATCCCATCAGTTCGACTTAAGCTATCTCATAAAAAAAAATTTATAATAATAATATTATAAAAAAAAAAACATTGTTAAATTCATTTTGAATCCATTAAGTTTCCTTTTTTTTTTTTTTTTTTTTTTTTTTTTTTTTTTTTTTTTTTTTTTTTTTAAAGCAATCCATATTATTCTTGTACATTGTACTTTAAAAAAAATACACAAAACATAATTTGTTAAAATTGAATTTGATAGTGATCGGTGATATCTTCCTAATTTTCAATTTGTTACATATAATATCATCATAATTTGTTAATTTGATGAATTTATACTTTAATTTGATTGTTTTAATAGTATTAATTAATTTAATCATATGAATTATTAAAAATAAAAAAAATAAATATGTAGAACTTAATGATATAAATTTAATACAAAATATATAATCTAATTCAGTTTGATTTTGAATCATAAAATTTGAATATATAACTAAAACGTAATTTTAATTTTTTTTAAATAAGTTCAATCTATATTAACTTATTGACTAATCTAAAAAATTTATTATTATTGAAGAAGTGAACACAATAATTACAAGCGGGGTAAACCTTGCCCGTCCCATTGCTTGTTAGCATTTGGCTTGAATGCTTGACCCACAAAAGCTACACATTAGTATAGTATTCTAAATCTAATCAAATATTCTCCTCATTCCAGTTGCCACAAGTGCCTTGAATGCTTGACCCACAAAAAGCTACACATGAGCTGATCAGCACCATATGGACAGTTATGATTGAAGGAAGAGTAGGGTACTTACAGTATTCCAAGAAGCACATGAAAATTAAGCCACCATAAATTAAAACGGTCCCAGTCTCTGCATGAATTCACGTGTCCTGCTACGTATTGCCGTTAATTACACCATCATGAGAGAGGAGAGAGAAGAGACACAGAGAGAGAGAGACATCAGCTACTACTGCATAGGATTCCATAGATGTACCCCCCAAAATTTTATGTTTTTAATAATATTATAGTAATAAAAAAAACACTGTACACCCCACGTGCACCAGAGCCACGTGCACTGCACGCCCCAATCACTGACAAGGGGCTCCTGCACACTCTTTGCACTGTACCCTCCTTTCTCACTTCATTTTAAAAACATTTTAATGTATTTAATTTTATGAAAATTGAATTTTTTGTTTTTAGTAAATATTTTTAAAATTTTAAGTAATTTTTTTACATATGGTTTACTGATATGTATCTAAATAGTAAAATATTTATAAAAAATTAATAAATACACAAAAATATAAAAATATATTAATTTTTTTTGTATTTTTTTTCATATTTTTGGTATTTAGTGACTTTTTAAAAATTTTTTTCCCACAAATATTATGTTTTTTAAGTGTATTTATGTAATGTGTATCTAAAAATTAAAAAAATTGTTTAAAATATTAAAAAAATTCAATGAAAACAAAACAATACGAAAAATAAATAAGTAATCAGTGTGTTTGGTTTCAGTTTTTTAAAAAATTGAGTTTTTTATTTTTTATATTTTTAGTGAATATTTTTAAAATTTTAAGCAATTTTTTTAGTTTTTTAAATGCACATCATAATTAAATGGATCTAAATAGTAAAATATTTGTGAAAAAATATTTTGAAAAATTAATAAATAGATAAATATATGAAAAATGTACTGAATTTTTATTTTATTTTATTTTTTATTTTTGGTATTTAGTAAATTTTTTAAATATTTTTTTCACAAATATTATACTTTTTAAGTATATTTATGTTAAGTGTATCTAAAAATTAAAAAAAAAATTCTTAAAATATTAAAAAAAGTTTGTAAAAACAAAAAAATTCAGAAAATAAAAAAATTAAATTTTCTGAAAAGTAAATTCTGAAAATCCAAATCAGACAAACTGAATATTTTTTTTTCTTCCCATAAAAAGGCTTCATTTTAACTCATTTTTATATCGTCTCCCGTCTTAAATATACTAGGCCTAAGATGAGAGAAGTGAAAAATGAAACTTTTAACTCTTGATTTAAACATAAATTTAAAAAAATAAAAAATAAAAAAATTGACTCTTAAATAATCTCTATTAATTTTATCTACACTGATAGGATAAATTATGTGTTAATTATTTATTTATATTTTTTATTTAACAGAATTAATTGAAAAAGTGAAATTTCTAATTGTTCACCTATACAATAATAAAATTATATGAATTATTAATTAAAATAAAATTTAACATTATCAAAAATTGTTAATTAACTTAATGATTTAATAATAAAAAGACTTATTTGTTATGAAATTAGAAACGTTAGGGAATATGATGTAATTTCTAAAATTGTAATGAATAATTTGTAATTTAAGTAAATCTCAGAAGATTTATTTATGATTTATCCTAAAAAGTATTAGATAGCCTTGTTTGGAATGATAAATTTTTAGTTAAAAATCATTATAAATAACCATATCATTATTTTTATTTTTTTATAAATTTTTTTGTAAAAATTAAAATAATCAATTCTTAAATAAAATGTCAATATGAAATTAAAACATCATAGAGATTTGCCTCAACACCAGCACATAAATTTTCGGTGGGGACTAGGGTGTCTTTGCTGCTGCAGTATGAAGACAAATTTCTTATGAATATGAGAGAGATTGGACAGTAGAGAGAGAAACTGATGAGGGAGCCGCACGGATTCTCACTCTTTTTAAATTTCTCATTCTCTCGAATAAAGAGGTAATTTTTAAATTATTTATAATTTTTTTTATAAGATTTAGATTCACTTTAATTTATAATTGACAATGCTAGGTAACTCAAATTTTTGTGCTTCAAATTGCTCAAATCTGTCAAAACGACGTCGTTTTGATAGATTTTGAGTGTAAAACGACGTCGTTATGACAGATTTGAGCCATTTAAGCTACAAAAATTTGAGTTACCAAACATTTTTCAATTTATAAAGTGGATTGGATTGTGCGATTTAGGTTCATAGGCTCCCTATACGTCCTGTTTTGATAATTCGAATCGTTAAATGTATAGAATTTATTGAGTATTTTATTTTTATAAAAAATCATGTTGATCGGATATTAATAACTACTTGATCGGATTAAATTTCTGTCAATAATTTATTTTAAAAATCATATTTACCGTTGATAGAAATATGATTTGATCAAATAACTATAGATATCCGATTAATGTAATTTTTTATAGGAATGAAATACTCGGGCTTGTTCTACACATTGACGATTCAAATTATCAAAATATGACCCATGGTGAGCCCTCATGAGCCTTACGATCGGATATTAATAACGACTTGATTGGATCAGATTTCTGTTAATAATTTATTTTGAAAATCATATTTACTGTTGACAGAAATATGATTTGATCAAATAGCTATAGATATCTGATTAATGTAATTTTTTATAAGGATGAAATGCTCGGGCTTGTTCTACACATTGACGATTCAAATTATCAAAATATGACCCATGGTAAACCCCACGAGCCTTAGAATACATTTCAATCCGATCTCAGACGGAAGAAAAGTCTGACCATTTTTTATAATTATTTTAAAGTTAACATAACTAATTTAAAGAAAGGTTTTCTAATAAAAGTTTTAAAGACTATCAATAAAATATACAAAATGTTAACATTTATAATTTTAATACACTTTTTATATATTTAAATTTTTTTTTTAACACTAACAATAGTTTTTGAAGTTTGTTTTAGTATTTTTTTATTATTAGATATACTATTGATATTACATGAAATTTCACATGGTTGAATTAGTGAGAGATAAGGCCTTGTTTGGTTTGTGTTTTTCAAAAATTTTTGGGAAAATTTTTCTACAAATAAGTTTTCAAAAGTAATCAAACTAAACAAATTTTTCCAAACAAATTTCCCAAAACTTGTTTGGTTTACAAGTTTTCCAAACAAATCTCTCTCTCTCTCATACACATCAAATCAATCACTTTTTCCAAAACTCTCTCTCAAAATAATTTTTTAAAACATCTTTTGAAAAAACCAAACCAAACAGCTTTTCGTACTTTTTATTTCTAAAACTCATCTCCCAAACTCAAACCAATCTACTCTTCATTTACAAAGTGGCAGTGCATAAATTGATATGATATCGTTACATTTAATATTTGTTCTCTATCTCTTATCCTAAAGTTATTGAATTATATATCTTAATTTTCGTATTTTGATAATTTTACACAGTTCAATATAAGTTAGTGCATTTTTTATATATTTAAATTTTTTTTTAACACTAACAATAGTTTTTGAAGTTTGTTTTAGTATTTTTTTATTATTAGATATACTATTGATATTACATGAAATTTCACATGGTTGAATTAGTGAGAGATAAGGCCTTGTTGGGTTTGTGTTTCCCAAAAATTTTTGGAAAAAATTCTCTACAAATAAGTTTTCAAAAGTAATCAAACTAAACAAATTTTTCCAAACAAATTTCCCAAAACTTGTTTGGTTTACAAGTTTTCCAAACAAATCTCTCTCTCTCTCATACACATCAAATCAATCACTTTTTCCAAAACTCTCTCTCAAAATAATTTTTTAAAACATCTTTTGAAAAAACCAAACCAAACAGCTTTTCGTACTTTTTATTTCTAAAACTCATCTCCCAAACTCAAACCAATCTACTCTTCATTTACAAAGTGGCAGTGCATAAATTGATATGATATCGTTACATTTAATATTTGTTCTCTATCTCTTATCCTAAAGTTATTGAATTATATATCTTAATTTTCGTATTTTGATAATTTTACACAGTTCAATATAAGTTAGTGCTTAAATATTTCAATATGAGGCTATATAAAATTTGAATTTATATATAAATTTATGAAGATAAAAATAAATTGTAAATGAAGTAGAAAAATAAATTTTTTTCACAAATATTTTCTATTTTCTTTTTCATCTCTAAAATTTTTCATAAATTTAAAAAAAAAACACAACTAAGAATTTTATTATAAAAAAACAAAAAATAAATACTTCATTTCACCAACACTTATAATTATTAAATTATATAAAATTTTAAGATATGATTTGATGAGGGTGAGTGTATTGGTAAGAGGGATGCAGGGAGAGAGAGGGAAGGGATGTCTTGGAGAGAGAGTAGGGGGAGCTTTTTGTTGTGTTGTTAGTTAACATTTTTCTTTTTCCATTTTACAGTAAGCAAAGAAAAGGGATAAAGAAGAAAACACACATTCACACTCACACAAAACACAAACATGTTTGATGGAGTTCCAGACCAATTCCACCAATTCATAGCCTCAAGAACTTCTGTTCCTCTCCCTCTCTCTTTCTTCCCTCTCCATGGCTCAACACAAACAACCTTCCCTACCTTTGATCCCTTTCCTTCTCACCAAACACTCCAATTGCAATCCCAACTTCTTCCTCAGCTCCACCACCCTCCTCCACCACCAACCACCCACAAAGCAGAAGAGAAAGAACAACAAAATAGCTTCATTTCAACAAGTTTAGAGCTTGAAAGAGAGAGATCAGTATCAGAGGCGATCGATCCGTGGTCTAATGATGAAGTTCTCGCACTCTTGAGGATCAGATCTAGTATGGAGAATTGGTTTCCAGATTTCACTTGGGAACATGTTTCAAGGTACATACATACATATATACTTATAGTACCCCATTAATCTATTAGTTATATACTTCATGTTTTCTAGCTATTAAACTAAAATTGAAGTGGATTAGGACATAGTTTTAAATATCGGTCAATATATGATCATATTGCTTTGTATAATGAAGATGTATATGGAGTTAATGTTTAAATCTTAGACTTTGGTTTGCTATTTATTCAAAGGATCTTGTGTTTTTTTGTTAGTTCTTGTTATTACTTCATGAACTTCAAATTAGCTTCTTGTGTAGAGATTTTAAATATTAATTACTATATATTGTTAATTACATACATATGGTTTGTTTGTATGTCTGTTTATAGATAGAGAGAGGGGGGGGGGGGGAAAAATTTAAGAAAACCCATCTTTTATATTTTATTTTTTCAAGAGTGATAAAAGATGTACTGATAATTAACGAGACGAAATTAATGCCTATGTGCATGTATTGGTGATGGTGTTTTTGTTTATTAATGGTGGAATAATGTTATACAATATGAAAAATTGTACAAAAAATAATACAGAATGATATAACAAGTTTTGATTTTATTGTTTTCAAATAAAATATTTGTCAAATTAACTTATATTAAAAAAATGTTACTGTCACATTATTTTGATTTTAAGTTATAAATAAAATTTTTGTAAGCATATCATTTCTTTTCAGGAAGCTTTCAGAGCTTGGGTTTAAAAGAAGTGCTGAGAAGTGCAAGGACAAATTTGAAGAGGAAAGCAGACACTTTGACAACATGAGTACTTACACCAAGAACTACAGGTTTTTCAGTGAGCTGGAAGAGCTCTGCCATGGTGATAATAATCAAAACCCTAACAAGGTTTTATCGGAAAGAAACCAAAATGTCGAAAATTTGTTTCCAAACAAAGAGGATTCGAGAAATGAAACAACAAACTCATCTCAAGAAAATGAAAAGAAACCAAGAGACAAGAAGAGGAAGAGACACAAGAGGTTTCAAATGTTGAAGGGTTTTTGTGAGGAGGTTGTGAAGAAGATGATGGCTCAACAAGAAGAATTGCACAACAAGCTCATTGAAGACATGGTGAAGAAAGATGAGGAAAAGATTGCAAGAGAAGAAGCGTGGAAGAGAGTGGAAATGGAGAGGATTAACAAGGAGATTGACATCATGGCACAAGAACAAGCCATTGCGAGCGATCGTCAGAGTAAACTCATTGAGTTCTTGAAGAAATTCACCCCAAATTCTTCTCAAAATTCGTCTTCTTTTATTCACCTTCAAAACCCTAATCCTCCATCTCAACCAAGTAGCCAACAAAACCCCAGTTCTGAAACCCTAGCACTACCCGAAAACCCTAGTTCTAAACTACTCAATTCTTTCCAAACCCCTAGAAATACCCAAAAAAATCCATTATCACCCACTTCATCATCGACACAGAAAACCCCCCAAAACCCTAATTCGGCACCCAACGAAAAAGAAGACATCGGTAAGAGGTGGCCGAGAGATGAAGTGTTGGCACTAATAAACCTCCGGTGCAGTCTCAATAGCGGTGGCAAGGGCGGTGGCGGTGGAGAGGACAAGGAAGGAACAAAGGGTCCTCTATGGGAGAGAATTTCACAAGGGATGTTGGAATTGGGATACAAGAGGAATGCAAAGAGGTGTAAAGAGAAATGGGAGAACATAAACAAGTACTTTAGGAAGACTAAAGATGTGAACAAGAAAAGGTCCCTTGATTCAAGGACTTGCCCTTATTTCCACCAATTGAGCGGCTTGTACAGCCAAGGAACACTCAGGCTGGAAAACCACTCGTCCGTCCCGGAAAACCACTCAGATGTACCAGAAAACCGCCTCGACAGACCACCTCCAGATGGGTCTAGTGGTGGTGATGCAAACATGCATGTGGATGGAGAAGGTGAGAAGAATTTGATTCAAGTACCAGCTTTTGAGTTTGAATTTTAAATTTAAATTTAAATTTTTTATTTTTATTTTTATTTTTGGCTTGTTTGTTTGGTTTTTTGAGCTGTACCGTTTTTTCTGCCTGGGTCAACTTCATAGTACCTTACTTGACATATATGCTTTAATATGTAGGTATTATATATGTGAAGTAGTGTCACCGACGAAATTTATTTTGAGTGTTATCTCAGCATTTTAGACTAATAATTTATTGTATTTTTTTTTATTTTTATATTTTTAATCTTACAAACTTCATTACGTAGATTTAATATAAATGTGATGAATCCTATCATGCAAACTAAGGCCTTGTTTGAGGTGTTTTAAAAAAAGTCAAAAAGTTAAAAAAGTCACTATCCTATTTAAGTCATATCATCTTATTTAAATCACATCACCTTTCTATCACATCACTTCAAATCTAATTTATATTTTATAAAAAGTCAAAAAGTGCACTTATTTAGAACATCCCAAACAACTCCTAATTATCATGTTTGAGTAAGACATTATGTGGTTAATACTTATAGGTCATGTTTGATTTACAAAATTAATAGTGAAGGTATTAATAATCTAATCAAATTAGTGTGATATTCTCAATCCAATTGGATTAGTAAGATAAATTATTACTTTGCCCATTGTTTGAATAAGAAAACATATGAATGTAGGATTACAATTATATTTATCTTTTTTTCCAATTTTATCATCCATCAATATTTTTTCACAATCTTTATTTTATCAAAATTTCTTCATAAACGTGGTTTTGAAAAAAATTATAAATAAATAAATAAAAGCAAAATAAAAATACAAAGGCCATGTTGGGTTTGTTTTTTAAGAGCAAAATAAAAATACAAAGCCATGTTTGGTTTGTTTTTTAATTTTCTTTAAATATAAACTAATTTGATAAAATATATATCAAAAAATATTTTTAAATTTTTAAAAGTTATTTTTATCCTTCTAAAATATAAAATTATATAAAAATAATAAGTGTTTTAATTTTTAGTCAAGGGTAAAAGAGTCTTTTTATTTTATTTCCCAGCTCAAAATATATAATCCCGCCCTTACCCCATTACTAATAATCCAACAAATTTGTTGGATTAATTATCCATTGGATTAATAATCCTGAAACAAATTTCAAAACAAACACATGATTATTGGGCCTACGGATTAATAATACCAATCTCATACTCTAATCATGTTAATCAAACATGTCCATAGAGCAGTTGAAAATTATTTGTGACAGACATCTTGAGAATAGAAAATAAATTTAGCTATAACTTCAATAATGATAGTAGACTCTTTTTTATATATATATAATTTTTATGTAAATTAATTTTTTGTTTTTTAACAGAACTTGTTTATCAAATAAATAGAAAAACAAAAAGGGATGTGATTGAGACCCCCTCCAATCACCACCCCCACCACCCCACATACACGTGGCGGGTGGTGATTGGAGGAGAAAGAAAAAAAAAAGAAAGAAAGAAAAATTGGCCAATAAAAAAAGAGAGGAAGTCAAAAGGGGTGGGGGGAAAGCGGGAAAGGGGGACTTAAACATTTTTGAAACAAAAAATAACTGCAAAAAAAAAAAAGCAAAAAAAAGAAGAAGAAGCTGGCTTGTATAGAATGGAATTTTTTTTAGGTAAGGGTATGGAATGGAAATTGTATTTCCAAAAGTTGCTATTCCCCTCCAACTTGACTATCGCCAACCTCAAGTTGTATTTCTCAACTCACGTCAGGCAAAAATTTTTTTTGGTCAGATGTTAGTAAATTAATAGTTAAATTACGGTATATTTATATAGACTCGAACTTGATATACATCAAATTGACATGCAAACGCTTTCTCAAGACCATCTAAATTACAGCCCAAGAATGGTGCGTATAAAAAAAATATATTTAAAATTTAAATTTAATATATTATAAGTCACGTCTAAAATTAATCTAATCAATAAATTTCAAATTTTAAAAGTAATTTCATGAAAACTAAACTTTTTCCCTCACAAAACCGTTAAGTCTCGAAACAAATTGTTAAAATCTTATCATCATCAAACAACTTAACTCTTTCAAGGATGGACATCGACCAGACCAGGATAAGTTCGCACCAAACCTATGTTAATAAAAAATAAAAAAGATGTCATACCCAAGATTAACTCTTTTAATGCTACTATCTCATCCGTAGATTGCCCCTAAATTGATGTTACAATTCCAAATCCACCTAACAAACTCATATATTAAACAAAATTAAATTTTACAAAACTGAATATTAATAAATATATAGTAAAATTGACACAAAAACTTACTGTATTATTTATTCATTACATCATAATTTCAAATATTAGTGAGTTTATTTTTATTTCTTAAATGCATTTAATTCATTTTTAAAATGAAACGAAATAAATATAATATTTAGGCGGGTCAAGTTTGAAGAATTATTTTCAAATCTAGCACATTAATAAGCTCTATGAAAATTCAATTTAGCTTGAATTTAAAAACTAAAAATATCCTGTTAGACTAATCATCAACTGTATACTCACAAAATGATTTTTTTTTTTCTTTTTCTTACAAATACACTCTTTGATATTTATTTAAAATACAAATTATCCTTATAATTTTAGAAATTACAAATATTCCTTTGTCAAATTTGTTATTTAACTAAATTGACAAATAAAAACGAAATTTCTAACTATTCTCACTACAAGAAAATACACTTTTGACGACTAATGTTTTTGTCGCCAAAAGCATTGATTTTAGTCGCCGAAGTGCTTCCCCGACCAAAAATTTTGGTCCCTGGCTTTGTCGTGGGTATATTGTCGGCGAAGGTATTGGCGACTAAAAAAATTTAGCCACCAAAAGTCTACCAAAATTGGCGACTAATATTTTAGTAGGCAAAAGTAACAGGAATTAGCGACTAAAAGTGGCTTAGTCGCTGATGAGTGACATTGGCGACTAACATATTAGTCGCCCAAAGGGTACATCAATTTTTAACTCACATCTTCAGCTACTAAATCTTTTGTTGCAAAAAATTCAAATATGTACGACAACCAAATTATAATTTAGCTACTAAATTAGTAGTAGCCAAAAGTGTTATTTTAGCTACTAAATGTTTAGTCGCAGAAAAGTTGATTCTTCTTTAGCTATTACACAGTTTAGTTGTCTATGACATATAATTATGTTTTGACGACTCAATATTTAGTTGCCAAAAGTATTTTGAGTTTTAGCTACTAAACAATTAGTCGCCAAAACTGTTTTCAATTTATTTTGGCTACTAAATATTTAGTCGCCAAAAGTGTTTTGAGTTTTAGCTACTAAATAATTTTTCGCCAAAACTGTTTTCAATTTGTTTTGGTTACTAAATATTTAGTCGCCAAAAGATTTATTTCTTTTTTTGGCTACCAATTGTTTTGTCACCAAAAATGTCATTTTTTATTTTTGTTTTGTTTTTTTCATTTTAATAATTTTTTTCACAATCTATATGTATTCACCACAACTTGTAACAGGTATACAAACAAATCAATATATATTATCACCTATTTCGTAATACATGTTTCATTTACAACTATCAAACAAAAAAGAACATCTGACAATGTAAACTTATATACAAACCAATTAATATATTCCAATTACAAATAATAACGTGATACATTCCAAATATGTTACCAAAACAATGTTCTCTATACACAAAACATTTTTACTATACTATGCATTTTAATGACCATTTGGCATGGTAATTTGTACCATGGCAAAAGGTAATCTATATATACCACTAGAGCAATTAATACAAGTTCCAAAAATACTATGTACCCCGCCAAAAATTATATGTACGATTCATTCAAATTCCACACAAAAAGTAGAGGACGACAAAAAACTTTCCAAATTTGCAAAACTGTGAATTATTTTCCGGACAAAAAAATAGAAGATCGACATGTCAATGCCAAAAGTCATCTACACAACAAAAATTACACCCATTAGTTCCATTGCAAACAAAAATTTTCAACAAAAAGTTACAACCATCTACAAAACACAAATTGCAAGGATATCAATTGTAATTGAAATTGTATTTAAATATAGTTTGAATTTAGGAAGTAATGGTTGAAATTTTTTAACTATTGAAAGTAGGACACATAAAATGAGATGGGGATGTTAGGTTTTTATTGTTGGCAACCCCGTTTGACAAAACTCCTTTCAGATGTATTTATTTTCGCACTTTTATTTCAGTGAGGCTATGAGTTTATTAGATGCGAATCCAAACCCGAATCGAACCATGCAGAGAAGTTTGTGATGTTAATGCTTTCAAGATTGCCACTTCGCTGATTATTACGGGGGTCAAGCTGCCCGGTCAGCTCGCGGCCGAAGACTGGACACATACCCATTTGGCCAAGGATTGCGTCCATACAAAAACCTGAAAAAGTGTATTCCTCGCTCGAGCCAAGGATCCGTCGCTCGAGCCAAGGCACTAGTAGAAATCATGAAAAATACACTGCTCGCTCGAGCCAGAAAAGCTTCGCTCGAGCGAACCTCAGAATCCGGATTTTTCAAAAGAAATGATCAAATCCCAATCTAGGATTACTTTTGGTTCTCTATAAATACTTGGTTTTCTCCCAAAACTAAGTGATTGATTTGAAGTCCTCCAGATCTTCTTTTTGGTTCTTAAGGTTTATATCTGGGGATATTTTGTTAGTTTTCTTTGATGTTTTTATTGAGTATTCAACTCATGATCTAAAGAGAGTACATCAAAGGTTGTTTGTTATACACAAAAGAGAGAGTTATTCTTCAGTTGTGGATTCTGAAGAATTCGAGCCTGAAGTTTTGGTGGATTCCGGGGTGGCTCATCAGAAAGACAATTCCGTGATGAAGATGGGGTTGGAAGAGGCACATAGAGGTTGGTTCAATTAGGCGTTGTGGATTCGCTAGGTAATTGAGAGTATACCTGTGTAATTCCTTTAAATCTTCTTAGTGGATTGTTCTTGTGGCTGTTGCCCGTGGTTTTTTATCACAGTTGGAGGTGTCCAATTGTGATTTTTCCACGTAAAATCGTTGTGTCTTTTTGTCTTGATTGTTTGATTGTGATTGTTATATTCTGCTTAAAATTGATACATAATCACAAATCAACATCTAGGGGATTTCTAGATTTTTCAGGGGAGATGATTATAAAATTTTTATTATCAGTTTACAACACTTTGCATTTCAGCTTTCTCCATCATATGTGAATGCTCTTTCACACTCCAACCCCAACAT